CGGTAAGTGGTTGGCATGAAGAAAAGCAACAACAGAACTTCACTCTCCCTACACTGCCACACTTCCACAGGACGGGCTTAATGATAAGTGACAAGAGGAGGCGTCCAGAAACAGACAACTCTGACAGCTGCGAGCTCTGACTGCGACTCTGTCTGGTCAACTTCAAAGGGAGGAAGAGACCAGCTGTGAATGATCCAGCTCTGCACAAAGTCAGGGCAAGGACATTTTGCTTTCAGGCGTAGACCTGGCCATTCGAGTTGCAGACACAAAAGCACCTGATAATTCAGGATGCCTTCCAGTTAAACTGGTTCAAGGTGAGGCTAATTTCCTATCCAAAGCTACTGGTGTTTGCTTACTGTAATTGTTTTTTTTTAAGCTTTCGTTGGAAATGGGAATTTAAATCCCAGCTTTCATACACACGTGCAGACATTCCGACTCTACTTCAGAATTCTTTAATGAGGGTGGTCTAGATAAACCAAAACTTCTATCAAGGATGAAAGGAAATCCTCATGTAGGAATATGTAGACCTTGTGTACAGGTGAGAAACTCCCACTTGTCCAGCAGAGTAACAGCAGCCACTTGTGGAGTGCTCATTGCTGTCTTCCAGCCCACTCAGCTTCTGATCTTGGCTGGAAGAACACAAGCAATCTTTACAGGTGATTTGACTTCCCATGTATTCAGGATAAATGCGGGGGCGGGTTAGTCAAACAGGGGACACACCCCCTTCCTCAGCTCTAGAGCCAACCTTCGATCGCCATCTTGGCTTTGTCTGAGGATCATGTTCACGGGAGGAATAAATAATAGTTAAAAGGAATATTTAATAAATAGCCAATTGTGGGATTACAGTACAGGAGTCTTGAACAAGCTCCCCAGCTATGTTGTTGAAGCTGATATCCTGGTTTCTTCCAAGGAATGGCTGGATGAAGTTCTCCAATCAAGTGAGTATGCACAAAGGGATGTGGGAGGATGGAAGAGTATGCTGTTGAACCCACAACCCTGGTTTCTTTCAGGAATCTGCTGCATGGGATCCTTGGATCAATTAGCTACTAACTACTAAATGATCTGTGTGCACTGAGTGGCCTCTTGTTTGTAACTCTTCTTCTGTCCTTAAGAAAGCAAAGGTACATTTAAAAAATAAAGCGTTATTCGCCACCATGTTAAAATATCACTGCACTGGTTGCCCTACAGCATGTTTTTTTCTCCAGTAGAGTAAGACAAGGAGGAAACTGAAGAGCAATAAATCCGTTTTGAGCACAACCCCACGCACTGCGGTGTTGACACAGCAGGGCTGGCTGTACAGAAGAGAACCAGTGAAGCACCACTCTCCCAACAGCTCCCACTTAACACGAAAATTGATTCATATCAATTATCGCAGAGCAACTTGTTCACAAAAGAGGTCAGGAAAAAAAGTCATTTGGGATCATAATGACAGACCTAAAAGGCTTAGATTTTTGTGTGAGGGGAGAAACAAGCATGTTTAGTAACATGAGCCATTCCAGGAGTCTCAGCCACTGTACAGAAATCAGCAACATGAAACTCGTTTAAAGGAAAAACTTGCTTTGGTTTCATTTACTTGGTATACCTCAAGTCTAATCTCCAAAACCAGACAGCTTTACTACTGTATTTCAAATCTGGTTAAATCTGATCAGAGATACATCAGGGTACAAGATGAAGATGCTGTAACACTAATGTATCTGATTTGGTCTCTACCACAGATTCACCTGTGTTATCGGACAGTGGCTCAGTAAAGGTTTTTGAGTGCTGTTTAATCCAGTAAATATCAGTTTGATGTCCTTTTTGTCAGCACAGTTGGTTTGTTAATTACCTGTAAGAAAAATCCTGCAGCAAATCAATCTGCTATCAGTGATAGAAATCTGGTAGTGTGACTGAAATGTCACCCTTTTATAGCTTGTTTTCATGGTGGCGCATTTACCTCTGGAGCAGATGTTCCAAACAAATGTTCCAGTATGATGAATGGAGACACTGTGCAACCACACTTAAGTCTTATTTGGTCATAAGGGTCCCATGGCACTGTTGGTAAGAGTACTCGCAGTAGCTGGCCTACCTATATTCCTCACCTCAATCCAGTTGCTGAAGCAGTTTCTCCACCTGGACTGTCTTGGAGTGGGGGCTGCCCTTCAGTGCTGGATGAAGTGGGTCCCCTCCTGTATGTAAAGCACTTTGAGATCCTTTGGGATGAAAGGCACTGTATAAATGCAAGGGACTCTAACTGTAGAGTTGGTCTGTTTCTCCCAGCGGTGTTTATCGTCAAGTTGTGGTGGGTCTTTTAGGAGAAAGCAGGATGCAGGTTAAAGAGCAGCTCAGCGTGGAGAACAGACTTCTTGAGAAAATAATCCTCCTTCCATCAGCTGATGACTTCCAGTTCATTTCCTTTATCCGCTGGCCTGCCATGTGCAGGACAATCCGCACTCCTCGGTCCCCTCACACAAGCGCGGGCAGGGCACTCTCATCCTGGTCATCCGGTTTATTCGTGTGAGGAAGGTATTTTAAGATTATCCTTCCTCAAAGATTACATTTTAGCAAAATTGCAGGCTTCTGCAAGCCCAACTCATGCCGACATCAGAGGATAACAAAAATAAGCTGCTTCTTATGCGGAGTTATCCGCAAGGTTTTGAAAAATATTTGGGGTTTTTAAATCAAAATTAATATCAATTTAAAAATCCAAAAGTCTCTCCATGGTTTTTATTCTGTAGTCAATATTTGAACTGTTTCTAGTCAGCATGGCACACCAGTGCTTAAAACTATTAGCTCGCAGCTCTTGGGTCTTGGGTCCGATGCTTGCCTAGGGTGTCTGTCTGTGTGGAGTTTGCACGTTCTCCCAAGTTCGCCTTGCATGGCAGTTAATTGGTGTGTCCCTTTGTGTCTGGGTCAATGCCTTGCGGTGGCTATCTCCAGGGTGTGGTGCACCATGCCCTGTGCTTCCAGGAGGGGCTCCACTGTGCAGCGCCCCTCACCTGGAACAAACAGCTTTCTGACAACGGCTGGAGAGATGGACAAAGATGACCAAGCATGCAGATGAGTAATAGTGGGTAACGATGTAGCATGATGACACCCTGCATATCGGTCCACGTCACGAAGGTTAAAAGCTGCAGCTGTCTCATTTGTGATTTCAGCTCTTACTTGCTGTAGGTCCCTTTCGGAGTCGACTGAAGGACGTATTGCTAAGAGAACGATGGACAGCACTGTACAGAGTCCTCTAAACCGTTATGCAGAACACCTGCTCTCAAGAAGTAGGGTACGACTGGAGAAACAGCTCTAAGGCCCTGAGCACTGACAATACCTCACATGTCCGTGTCTCAGCATAGCATCCTAAAAAAGATTTATGCCGGTTTCATTGCCTTCAGAGAAATATGCAAAGAATTTCACGAACATGGCCCTAATTATATAAAAACACAACCTTGCAATATTGCACATACAATGTTCTTTTTTGCACAGGGATTCAACAGCTCTTGCAAAGGATGATTAAAAAAACTGACCAGAGGTGAACCCTGTGCTGAGAAAAGTCTACCACAATTTTTAACTTGTTCATGAATTCTAGTCCAATTATAGCTCCCTCATCCATTCTCATCCATGAAATCAAATGTAATCTTCTCCATAATGGAAAAACAGTCCCCAACGGAAAGGAAAGTTTGCCAACAAGATTATCTTGGAAAATAATATTCAGTTTCACCTTGGTAACTTGAACTTGGGTCTATTTCTCTCTAATTTTTTATATATTCAAAGAAGACCAATTTAGGTTGGAGGCATCAGGTCGATATTCATTTTTCTCTGCACGAGTAAGAAAAAAAATCACTCACATGTGGAATATCAATTTCAAAGAAAAGAAAACCGCATTTCCCAGAAAAAAAATCAGGCAGCTATTAAACAGTGATGCACTTACAAGCAGAGGTTGAGATTCTGGATTTGAAAGGTTGCTTTTGGATCACCATGGTTTCCTTTTAGTTGCCATTGCCATTGTTGCCATTGAATTTTTTTCCTTTGCCTGCCCACCGAGCATCATTTTCAGCAGTCCTGGATGCTAATGTGCAGTTTTTTTATTTGCTCACTTGTAGCTGAAAGGAGATGTTACAGAGATGTTGACTTTAAGTCATGATGCATTTTGGCATGAAATAACGAATAACAAAATGGCAAAAGCCCTGTAAACAAAATAATTAAGAAACTAAAATGAACATTCTCATGCACAACAAAATGTCATACAGTATATTCTACCCTAGACAACGTCAGGCATTCTTTCTGGAGAAACAATCCTGCAAGTCTGAAGTGCCTACAAGTATGAATCAGCACTCAGCGCTTAGTTCCCTTCAAAATCAATGGGTGCTCTCGATAGAAAAAATTACACATTTGCTGGGGTAGAAAATGTCTCATTGTTGCTTCCAACGCATCAAGGAAGAAAAGGTGCAAACCAAATTATCAGCTTCCGGCAAAGGCAGCTGTTTCTTCCACATATCCCCAACTTACAATTGAGAAAACGCCTTCCGATTTCTCAAGTTATATTGAACTGCTGGAATCGGCTAGTCCTCCATATCACAAATTAGAGTATCTGGCTTCAGATGCCTTTGGAAAGCAAAACCTTCTCCAGAGAAATTGCTGATGCCCTATATCGAAAAACACCATTTCAACTCCCAACACTCTGCATTTTATTGCTTCAAAGCACAGCAGTTCCAAACACTCCAATCCATTTATATCCTGTCCACATTAATGTGTTAATTTGTGTGCCTTCTGAAGCTCTGCATGTGTGAAGTGCTTGTGCATAACCTTGATTGAGAAAGATCCAAATGTATTGGAACGCAGGGCAAAAGGCAGGGGTGCAACTTGTGTGAAAATCAGAGAACTTTTCTCAATGCCTCGCTCGCTTCTGGAAAGTCCTTCTTCTCAACAGCCTCACTTTCCAAGCTGGCTCAACAGCACGTCGCAGGGAACAAAAAAAACACGACACACTCCGCAACGGCATCAGAAAGAACACAAACCGCAGGCATTCATTACACCTTTATTAAATTTTATTATAAATTCTTTTATCACAAACACATTGAAAATGACTTCTAGAAATGAAACAGTCCACATGGATGTTGCAGTCTTTCAGGACACTTTTCCAGAGCGGCTGTATATTGAAGTTTATAGAGCCCTTACAGCAGCTCTGACAGGTCCATGCAAACCCTGCTGGTCCCAATAACCTTAATCAAATGCACCTTCAAGGCCAGGCACTGTTCCCGGGGAAGCCAAGGCAGAACCTCGCAGTAATGAGAGACCGGAAGGCAGCACTCAAGAGACACTGCCTGGAAGACACGCAGCCGAATTCTGCACCAACAGCTGGTGGGATCTAATCTGGGTTATTGTTTTTGTTTTGTTTTTTGCACCCTACATAATAAGCACCATGAAAGCCTTCCAGTCATGACTGCATGGAACAGGATGATCCACTTGGGATTTGATGAGCCTGGGAGGATCAGGGTACAGATGGCAGACAGATTGCGCAAGAGTTAACCTCAGGAACAGGAGGGAAGTGCTTTGTCTCTTACTGACAGAACGGCAGCCCTTTCTATGTATATGAAACGGATATCAGCAGGATAGAAATCCACACAATATCCGTACAACTTGAAGGCAACGGCATTGATTGAGCAAAATGACATTTCTCACATACAGCATGCATTTACCAACTGGGTTAGAAGTTCAGTGCACCAAAATTGCTTTCAAATGCTATAAATAACATTTAAACGGATTTGGCTTTTAGTGTATTAAAGCAGAATGCCTCACACTGCAGCTCTGCATTATATTAATCATGGTGCAGGAAACTTTCTTTTTTTTTTGCAGGAGTGCAAAATTAATGGAATTTTCCATTTTCTGCTTTTGGGATTTTACATTACATTTCCACTTACCATGGATTGCAGCCTCATTTTCCAAATGTTTAATGGAGCTTCAATGGAAGCTAATGCTTATTAAATCTGTACCAATAAGCCATTTTGCAGTTAATATAATACTGCAGGGTCCCATTTTCAGACAATGCAATCAGTACCACCTCTCAATACAAATGGATTCTGTCAGTATAATTGGCAGGAAGTACATTTGTTCTCCGAATTATTTTTTTGGAGAAAAGCTGACAAACCCTTACAGGAAACTTCTCACCATACTACGCAGTTTCTCTCGCTTCTCATCCGAAAGGTAACCGGCTTAACTTGATTGTAAAATAAGGAGTCTAAAGGGACTCAACTGAAAAATAGACTGTCAAAAACATGGTAGCTCACTAGTCTGTATGGCACTGCTGTATACTAGCGTGCAGACGTGGTACAGAACTGCAGCCTTTTTACAAATGCTTTGTGCTAAAAAGGTGTGACAGTGTGCTCCAGATGAGCAGTATTTATTCATTCAAGGGCCTTCCTACGATTCAAAACAAAGCAAAATCGCAGCAATTAATTTCCACGCAACAAAAAACAGGGAAACACAAAAATGGACCGGGCTGGCAGGGAAATTAATCTTAAGTATACCCTCCTGCAGAAGAAACAGGGAAAAAGTGCTTGGCTGGCAAAAAGAACTTTATCCTGATGAAGGCTATTAAATACACAGCAGAGGAACGAAAGCGTTCCAAAGTGAGATCGTTTCCCCTGCTTGAGTCAAGACAGTAAGGCCAGCGATACTGCCTGCAGGTACCTCGAACCAGAAGGGCTCAGAGCCACTGGCAACGCCCTTCGTCACAGTCCGGGGGAGCTGGCCAGCCTTGATGGCTGTCTGGCCGTGTGTAGCACAGATCCAACACCCTTGTGCCAGTAAGGACACAGGAGCCTTTTTAAAAACCTGCTCCAGAATTAGCTCAAAAGTTTCGGGCCACACAATGACAGGCAAGTATTCAACTGTTCACCATCGTCACCTTGTGAGTGGCATCAAGCAGTCAGCCACTCAGCCTTCCAAGCCCACTCACACACCCTGGACCGGCCAGTTAGCAGAATGCCCTGTGCCCTGGGGGAAGGTACAATGCTGTCAATTCCCCCCCCAACCTTGCCATCATGCTCTGAAGGTATGCAAGGAGTTTTTACAAATGCATGTCTTTCTGGCTCTCCGCTGTAGTCGTCAGAGGCACAGCTCTCTGGCCCGTGCAAAGGCTGGGTTCTTCCTTAAGGAAGGCGCATCGCTTCTCAGACTTCGAGAGGCTTAAGGGCGTCCTCTTCTTTTTAGGGTTTGTGCTGAGCGTCCCTGTGGGAACATTGTTGGATCACGTCAGTCATGTCAGCATTGAAACAAACCCAAGAAGCAGAGGTTGTTAACGTAATGGGACAGGACTAGTAACATGCTCTTCTACTCCACTCCAGTACTGCGTGGTGGACAAGCAGTATGGCACCATTATGGGGTGAAATTTCCCTGTATGCTCACATGCCTTTCCATCCAATAGTTTTCACGAGACCATGACAAGTGCCCAATTTCCATCATGTTGAAGTTAATGCAATCCTCATACAGAAATAGGAAGCTTCACCATGTGCCATATGAACTTGATTCCACAGTTCTGAGGATTTTTGGTACCATTAGGATCCAGCCAATGCGGCAGAGACTCTTAGCAAGCAGATTCTGTACTAGTGGAGCTCTACTCTGGTCCCACAGACCAAACCCCTCAATGCTGACATTCCACCAATGGCAGGAGCGAATGACACCCCCGCCTTTCTCGGAAAGTTGATTAAACCCAAAGTCCCAAATACAAGTGAAAACCGCTCCTCTGATGAGGTTAACAAAGCGCATTAAATTATAAAATGCTCATCACTGACAGATGAACCGAGCTAAGGCTCTCTGAAAACTCTGCAGACTTTCATTAGGAACTGACTGTGGTTAAGACGCAGATTAATTTCCTCCCGTTTTGTAAATGTCAACTCTATCTATTTCGCTTGCCTGTTGTCTCGGTCACTCAGCTCAGCTTTTTTTCCCCCTGCAGTCCATTTGTCACGTTCCACTGTGCTCTCACACAGCCAGACTGCGATTTTGAACTTGCACCAATTAAAATTTCAGCAACCAGCACAAGCAACTCAAGCCTCTAACACAAGCAGTACCTGCTGTTCTTCCATCACTGGACTGGACAGGCACCCTGAACCATCTATATTGTTAAGACGTTCCCCCCCACCAGTGATGGAGCTCCAGCCTGTACAGTACACAGACACTGCATTTCATTTTTTGCCAAAATAATTGCTTCCACTTTGTTGCTCTGAGCCAAAGGCAATACAGAGTAAGAGTAAATTTAGCAAGAAGACTTCAGCCCATTGTGTTGGCACAGGCAATACTGACTGTGCTTTCCAAATCCCAGTTAATTTGTTCAACTACTAGTGAGCTCCATATAGAAATCTTTTATTAGTCAACCACCTACCTGAGTGAAGGCTGTACTCCAGATTCTAAGCAGTTCTTCTAGTTTTGTGTGATAATTTTTTTAACTCCCTGTAAAAAAAAAAAGAAACCATTTAAAGTCTTCAAAGGCATATTCAAGTTTTTCCAAAATTGGAAAAAAAGAACATTTTCATGCAAGGCTTACATTACACAGCAAAAAAAGTCATGCAACTCAAGCTTTACAGACTTTTAGGACTAACATTTGTAATACATTTAAAATTACATTAGGCAACATTGAAGATTTATGCTAAATTTATGCAAAACAAAAAAAAAGTAGCAGCAGATTAACTGGTCTACATAGATCATGATCTAGATTTTGTATTTAAAGCTATTTTTTAGCAAGAGTTGCATTACTATCTATACTGGGGTATATTAAATGTTAGTACATAGTTAATTTATTTTTGAAAACAACTTTTATTACTGCATAAATTTTAAGTTCTGCGTTTTTCACTTTTGATCTTTTTATAATCGAACAGTCTTTTAACAGCTTATACGCAGTTACTAGCAGTTTATATATATATATAAAATAATACTATTAAATTACAGATTTAGGGTTAGTTTTACCTTCTGTGATGCACTTTAGGTTTACTCATCCTTTCAGAGTGCTGCGATAATTTTCTTTAATAAAACCAGCCACGTTTCTTTGCGTCAAGCATGACATAAGTGCCCTGCAAGCTTAACTTGAATGATTGTGGAAGTTCAGTTATTTCAGAGACTACAAATGACAATTTGCATTACGTGAAGATACAGTTTCATTTAAAGTTGGATTTTTTTTTTTTAAGACAAACCCAGGCATTAGTGCATTCTCAATGCCTTGTTTTCTGACCACATTACCTCGGTTAAATGGCAGCTAACAGGTTTATTTTAAAGGGGACATAGAAGGTCTTACCTCTAGATCCATTTTAATATAAAAAAAGAGGAGAGAACAAATAAGTTGTGTTCTTTTTCCGTGTAATATCAAGACACCTTTACATTTTTTCTTTTTTTAATTCTTCATACTACATGCAATCATTTAAAATTTAAAATGTTGTTTGAAGGTCTTAAGGAACCTTTATCTCTGATAATAGTTTAGGTTATTTAAAAAGGTATTTCATTATTTTATGATAAAACAGAACAAAGGTAACAAGTTTAGTTTGATAAAAAAAGACTAGGCTTTATTGACAAACTGCTGCAAAACATTTTTTGGACAGATATTTAGTAACCTATTTAGGCAAGCTTACACAAATAGAGCATTATGCATTTTACGGTGAAGGTACAGATTTAAATGGCAATATACAGTTATTTGAAGTTTATAGTATGTACATAGTTTCGGGTTTAGCTGCAGTATCCCTTTTTATAAGGATTATTAGACCCTGTGGAGATCTGGCACAATCCTTAGCAGACCCCTTGACTTGTGGGGAATTTAGAGTAAACTTTTCAGACGAATTTCTGATCCTATATTTTAACATATGGAGACCAGTACAGTGGCAATTCAATTTGAATTCTGGGCAAGAGAATAGATGAACAGCAATGATCACACCCATCCCCAGCCCATTTTCTTCTAAAAATTACAGGTTGACCTTTTTTTAAAATAAGGATCGTTAAGGATAGTTTATCTCAACAGTGTCTAGTGGGGCTATATTTCAAAACTCTTTAAAGTAAAATCCAAAATATTATCAAACCTAAACTTTCTAAATGTACAACTTTTTAAGAGACTATTTAAAAATTAAGTTAATCTTTAGGACAGTACCTCATGAAAATAAAAAAAAGGTGCCTAAATTTCTGTGGGGGTTAATTCATGTTGCCTATTATTACAATTTTATCCAAGTAAATTAGTTTAAAGGTTTTAAGTTTTGTAAATGTTTAATTAAAACAGAATTTTGAAATGTAGCCTAAGCGGGAATCTGCAACTGCCACTTAATCACGGAATCAGTATTTTTAAAGCAAGTAACACAAAAATTAAGTGAGATCTTCAGAGCTAACAAGATGTTAAATTATACAGTCGTTCAAGGATGTTTACCCCCCACACATTTTGAAACTGGATAAAATCTTATTTTATAACCAAACATTAAAAAAAGTTAACAGAACTGTCAATGCGAATAAGCAAGGGGAAGAAGAAGAAGAAGAAAAAAAAATCAAAAAGCTTGTAAACAAAGTTTAGCTGTGTTGCCTAACTCGGCTAGGATCGGTTCAGATGTCTCAATGCGTACAGAAGCAGGTTTTCAAACAAAGTCCACAGAGTAGAAAACGAACGGACAATTACTTTTTGTCTGGTTCTTTAAAGCGACAGAGGCCACGGGAGACAGATGTCAGTGAGCAATGTGCTTATTCAAACTTGATCTGGCCCCTTCAGTATCTCCCATAGGGGTGATCCCTGTAGGGCCCTTTAACAGTTCTTGCGGAAGGCAGCTTGGGGGCCGCTCTTGTTCCATTCCAGTCATCCTGACCTGGAAAGAGACGGAAAAAAAATTAATGAGCCATTACCACCAAGGTCTCAAAACCCATCCGGGGTTAGCGGGGCTGTTAGCAGTCTGACCAAGTCCCATGACAACAAGAGCCTTTTCAGCCTCTCCTGGCAGAGGTAAGACAAAAAGGGCAACGCCAAGATTCAGGATGTCTGTCCTGGTCTTCCTGCCAGCGGTTTACTCAGACATTCCCCAATAATCCCTGACAGTGCCTTGGGGAAGAGACCCCAAAAACATTTAAAAAAAGGCACCATATGATACAAACAGGGAAAGCTTCAAAAGGTCTTGTTCAGCAATCGGTATTTAACTCGCTCAGCTTCAGCCAGCTTCAACAGGGCTGGAGTAGAAATTCTCCGTCTGTGAGGATGTGCACCATTCGTGAAAGAGGGAAGCCACACATCACTTCTGGAGCTTAATATTGACTGACCACTGCAGTGTTCAGCTGGGAGACTGACCTCAGGGACTGGCTGATCAGAAAGGATCTTCGGTTACACTTCAGTGACAAAACAAGACAGCTGAATGGACCCGCTGCGTTTGAAATGAGGGAGAACATTCCCCATTGTTACAGACAAGAAGACTATGGCCTTACCGTAAGGCTCGTATGTGTCCTGGGCCTCCCCGTGGCCATAATCGTAGTATTCTGTGTCTCTGCAAACCCGAAACAGACAGATGTTACTCAAGAGCACTGGCCTCTCAGGAACTGCACTGCTGCCCTACGCAAGCTTAATGCAACACTAAAGGGTTTCAGTTTAAACAATGTCCACACATCATGAACACAAGGCAGGAAAGAGTCAAACTGAAAAGCTGGCTGAACATGGCGACTGAGCTTAGATGTTACTGCACCAACACCAGCTTCACAGTTTGCTCTTCAACATCAAAACACCATGGACAAACTGAATCCCCTGTCCAGAACTCCACACAAGTCCCTTTGAAAGCAGTATCTAGCATTGCTAGCACTTTGAAAACTTCAGGCTTTGTAGAACTATCAACTGCACAATAAGCTACAGACCTGGTATTTCATGTTTAATTTACAACAATCTCTTGTGCTTTTCTAGTCTCACTTCTATCTGTGCTTTGGGTTCCTTCAAAAGCACTCAAATGTATAATATTTTTTAAGTAAGCATTTGAGAAACCCTCCAGCAAAGGAAACATCACCAGCTAAACCCGCAACCAGAGAATGTCAAACTTACGCCTGGGGTTGACTGTAATAATCATAAGCTTCATAAGTGGGCTCAGCGTAGCTGTCTTCATAGGCCTGAGAAGAGGAGAAAAAATTAAAAACAATAAGTCCCTCTACTCAACCATGATCTATGACTTCAAAATTATTTAGAATCCAAAATATCATAGCCATTGACTCAAGTTTCATAAAAAATTTGCATTTAAAAACCAACACTGCTGGATCAACTACCCCCATTGGGAGACAAGACAGGATGCAGGAAAATTAACTTGTAATAAATTCTTGTACCTCATCTGCAAGCCCTATTACAATATAGACAAAACTAGATGTGCTCTCTCCTGAGGCAAAAAAGACTAACAAGTTACAGAGCTAGTTAACCAGGCCTGTAATGCAACTCCAACACCCCGGTCAGGGTGAAACACTGAGAAAGGGTAACCGTTCACTCACGTATTCTTCATAGGGCTCCGGGGCAGGTGGGTGGGGCAGGGGCATTCTCTGCACGCCCGGGGCAGGCGGCCTGCTGCGGGCAGCGGGGGCGCCCCCTCGGACAGGCTGCGCTGGGGGCACCCCTCGCCCTGCTGGCGCGCCCCTCACAGTGGCTCCTCTCGCCGGGCCCCCGCGGGGCGCCGCTCCGCGCGGTGGGATCCCCCGACCCCTAGGAAACGCAGGCCGTTAGTTTCCCGAAAGCAGAAGGGCTCAGTCAAGCTGCAGCTCAAGGCGACCGGCCGGAACGCCCTCTTGTGCTGGGCTGTCAACATTTTTCTTAAAAGAACGACACGGGAGCACCACGGGCTTGGAAGGCTAAGGGTTCGAATCGGGGCCCAGGCGGAGCTGTTGTGCCCCTGACGAGACACCTCGCGCAGAACGCACTAGCACAGGGCCCTGCTGTACAAAAGGGTACAGAGGCACACACTGCTTTGAGCAAAAGATTCAAGATGAAAGATGGGATAAAACAAAACATTGCAGTATTCCTTCACAATCTGCCTTACGCTGTCCCACAAAGTCAAAGGGCATTTTCACTTTGGTCTGGACAGACACTGCACAAATCTACCTGCTTTCCTTGTCGGTTGTATGTTTGTTTGGACTGGCTCTGCATAATTCTTTTCTATTTACAAGTTTCTCTGGATCAAGGATCCCAGGAAAGCAGAGAAGCGGAGCACATCCAGATCAAAGTAGCCCCATTACCAAAGATCCTCACGGCACCACAGTCACAGTTACCTGGCGGCTGGAGTGGGAGGGGGGGGCGCGCCACGCCCCCTGACAGGGGGGCCTCCTCTGCCCCGGACCCCCGGCTCCTGTCCTCCATTCAGGTAGGACATCTCCATGAACTGCTCCTGACAAATGTCATCCATCATGTCCTGCTTGGAAACAAAAAGGAACTGGTACTGGTCATGCATGAGCTAAGCACAGCTCCAAGGCACATACAAAAGCTAACAGTCTGGTATCTTTAAGAGCCTGCCACTACGTAGCACTTACGTGATGTTTTGAATAGTCAAAAATACTGCAGCCTACACCCCCTCCCCCCAAGTACAAAACCTCCTCGCAATGTTTTTCTCAAATCGGCAGTGATCACACTGCAAAAACCGTTCCTTGAAGATCAAACTCAATTTCCCCTAACCTGAGCTCTAACAGGAATAAACCATCTGCCTCCTCTGAAACACTCCTCTCGGCTCCGCGGCTACAGAGCTCACTCCCCGCCATGTGCATCTTTTAATATTCCCCTGTGGAGGTGCTCAGATAAATGTAATGGAATATTCGAGCAGCTGGAGAAAATTGATCTCCATGCAGTGCACTTTACGATGCACTTCAGACATAAAATGCTGCGTTTTCTTAAGCAACACGAACACTTAAAAGATGAAGGATTTACTTGTTCTCTATTGAATGGAGTGAGGATATTAAAAAAAACGTTGATGTCTGTCCAGCCATTAATCGCGATGCACTTACATGGCACGGTTTGTCCCACTCGGTACCAAGCCTGTGCTCAGTTACAAATGACAGGGAAGGCAAAAAAAAAAAAGAAGGTTCTAACCAAAAGCTCAAGATGAGATCGGATATTGACATGACTAATCCCTAGTAAAAAAAACTGTAAAAATCAGATAGGCAGGCCATTACAGATGGTTAACTTTTTTCCTTTCCAGAAACCCTGCTTTAATTTAATAATACGACTCATAAGACACCCAAATGCAGAAATGAGGAATAGAGAGGAGAGCGATTTTACAGCGGAAATCTCAATGGGATAATGAAGGCATTACAACGCTCTCCACTCGGCAGCCCCCCTCATCACGCCAAACCTCCCCCCACCGCCTCTCTGAATCGGACGACCCCGCGGGGCCACCCTGACCGGACCCCCTTCCCCGAGCCGGCGCGGCTCAGCAACGGTGCCGGCCGGAGAGCGCCGCAAACCCCGGGGAGCAAAAGGCAACACTCACAGGAATGAGGAACTTCTTGACTTCCTCCATGGCGTGCGCCATGCGGAGGTAGGCCTCGGGCACGGGGGCGAACACTTCGATGAAGACGTGCAGCTCCATGGACAGGTGGGCGTACTTGGGCTCCCCTCCCTTCCGCAGCTCCTCCTCCTGCAACACCGAAACCCACAGCCTTCAGACCCCCACGCCTCTGAAGAGGCCCCCCGAACAGAGCCGACACGCCTCAAACCGCCGGCGTCCAATCGGCTTGCGGGCGAAGCGGGAAGAATCAATTTGCAAGCGGAATATCCTTAACCCTCTATTGCGAAGTCCACTTTTTTTTTTTTTAACATGGAGCTTTATCAACGGACTGATATCCTGCACAAGATGGTCGACTGCTGCAGGGAAAGGAATAATGTTAAACCTGTAAAGCACACAGACAGCACCAGAATCCATAAGAAACCAAAAGGAGCCTCATTTCTTTTGTGCAATTTAAAAAAAGCTCCTGCATATTTATAAGCCTGCTGGCAGGCAGCGTGTCCAGCCTGAACATATGCTTGCAAATGCAGATCTGTATTTCTTGAAAAGGCCTGCCTGGCGTTCCTGCGAGGCGACCAGAGCTGCACATCCATACCTTCACTTTATCCCTCATGGAGCCTTTTCCCAGGACAGAGATCTTCGCTCCCGTCTCTTCCTGTAGCCGTTTGATCGTGTTTCCTTGGGGTCCCAGAATCTTCCCGACAAAGTTAAACTGAGAAACAGAAGGACAAAACCCATGTAAGATGGCGTGAAAGCAGTCCTGACAATTCAGATGATTTAAAGTGCTCCCTTCGCAAACAGAAAAGATGGCTAAGAAAGTGATGGGGGAGAGAAGAAGTAGCAGCTTTGTTGCATGAAAATGTGCAGCCCCTACAACTTTCTAGTCAGCAATTAGAAAAGGGCTCTTGTACCTCAGGAAATATTAAATCATGACGGGCAACTTACAGAACAAAAGGATAAGGCTTAACACAGTCAAGCAGGAAGGCTGGCGTTTTAGTGATGCCACTATTCAAGGAGAGTCATGAAGAAGCACAGTAACAGTGCACCTTATTTGAATGTGGAACATAATACAAGGGTGAACACTTAATAAGCACTTTATAAAATAACTAGTTAAAAGGGATTTATCAATTGGAAAGCACAGGTAAAAAGGATCAGAAAGGCTAAAATTGAATATCGCAATGGAGATTCACATCTTTCTTTTTTCCTCAACATTGTAAGAGCAGAAGAACAATAAAAGATGAAGTGTCTTGGGGATAACAAGGACTCTTTAGATGATGGGGAAATGGCTGTTGTATTAAAGGAATATTTCACTGTGGCATTTACCAAAGACGAAATCCACAACACGCCTCGGGCTGCGATAAGAGCATTCGATGTTAAACAATATTGGGTTACAAGAGGCAGAAGTGTTACAGGGCGTGGAAGCACTTGTAAAAACTCAAAGGCCTGAGAATCTGCTGTCCCAGGTTATCATCAAGACTCCTCCAATAGTCACTCAAGAAAGGGCTTGCATCCACTGATGGGAAAACCTTTCACGTAAAATCACTTCACAAGAAAGAACCAAGCAAATTATACACCAACAGGTTTTCATTGTAACGTTCTGGGAATAATGCATATTTCTCACTATAGGATCATCTGTATGGCAATAGCATTCTAGAAGATAGTTAGCAGAGATTTTAAAAAGTCAAGTCAAGTTGTTCATCCGAAAGCAGTAATGCGTACAGATGATGCAGAAGATATGGTATATTCCCAGTACAAAGTGATGCTTGTGTACAGACAAGACAGAGGACAGACAGAAGGGATGAATGCTCAAAGCTGGGTGAAGTCAATGGTGGAGAAGAACTGTGATCTCCATTAGGACTACTCTACCATCCTTCCTATCAATGAGCCAGATCTTGGTCTCATTCGGAAACAAGTCAAGCTCATAAATGAGGCCAAAAAAAGGAGATGACATTTCGAGACTGGGCAGACTCCTGGGAGATATTATACATACATATATAGCATGAATATGAGACACTAAACCCTGAACTTGAAATTATGAAAAAGATTAAAGTGTGTTAACTCAGCTTCTAGATAATATGTGAAAGCAATAAAAAAAACAATGCTAGGCATATTATGCCAAAATTGGACAATGAACCAGTTACTAGTGAGAATAGGGTTTGATCACCACAGTGCAAGAAAGCATATCGCTACTGTGGAATTAGTCCACAACAATCGGGCACATTCCTGGGCTTAAAAAAATTATCAGGCTAAAAAACTTTAGTCTTGAACAAAACACTGCAAGAACTTTGTCGAAGTATTCAAAGCCTCAAAAGTACTGAAAACCCATTCGCATATTTATATTTGGCTGATGCATTTATCCGAAGCATTTGAAACTTCCAATCATTTACCCAGGAATCATTTAGTACTCCCCCAGGAACAATTCGGGACAAGGACTTCGCTCAAAGGGTACGCGAGCAGTGTTTCAGCTGGCACACATCCTGAACCACAGCGCCACACTACTGTCCCTTTCAGATGTGGTCTGTTCTAGAACCAAAGGATAAAAGAAAATGGGGGGGGGGGCGGCATTTCTTTACACAAAGGGCTGTGGGAGTCAGGAACAAGCAGCCCACCCATGGTGTTGAACCGACACCCAAGCTCCTTTTAAGAGCCAGAAGGCTGAAACCCTTGGGAGAGCGAGGCACTAGCACAATATGAGGGCGATGGGCCAGGTGGCTTCCTCTTGTTTCAGACCTACAGTATGTTCTCAAACACGCTGCTCTTCAGAGACGAAAGCTATTTAACTGAACCAGGGCTGTGGTTAATGTGCATTACCCGGCTCGTGTACAGTGGTTTACAATTCATGCTCTCTTCCTCACCCCTACATATAATGCGATAACTTCACACCACCACTTGTTTGATGATTCACAGAAAGCTAAAGAATCTCCTGGTGACAAACCTAGAGGAGAGAGGGACCTACAGTAATCTGTACACAGTGGAAATTGTGCTTGCATACCGCACAATGCATTGCTGATCCACACCTGATTTATTTAAGACACCAGCATAGCTATGCTGCCAACATGCAGGTAACGAAGCCTATATAAAACGATCATTTTAGATTCCAGATGCAAAGCACAAGTGATGCACATTTTATTTTGGATGTTTTTACAGAATACCCCCAGCTTTCTTCTACAAACAATAATCGACAGTCCAAGTCTTTAACTTAACATGACCCTGAACATAGAATCAAATCAGTTTGCAGAGAATATAAAACATCCTTTACATACACTGTTTTTAAAATTCACACAACGCTTAAACATTTAGAGCGTTTACAGATCGCATTAAACAGAATCCCGCGCCCTTTAATCGCAACTTGTCTGGCTCCTCAAAGGCAGAAAACATCCTCAGCTAGTTTGTGGGTTACCAGCAGCAAACAGGAAGCTCTAAACTAATTCCAGTGAGCTGAATAATTTATTATTGCTTCAAAATATGTAGTTCGTTTTAATTTAAAATCCATCTGAGCCAACGCTTAAACAGAATTTAACTGTCGGGAGTCCTGGAGCGTTAACACTAATTTGTCAGCAGAAAAATTAGGCTAGGGTAGGTAAACCCCATCCCCCTCCACAGCGAATCCATCAACACCCAGCCACATCCACTGCAATTTGATTTTTAGACAGCAGTTAATCACCATGACTGCAAGACGCAGGCAAAGAAATAAAGGTCTATAAGCTGCTGGCTTTTAATACAGACAGGTCTTGCACTTCCACAAATTCCAGCACCCCTGGCGTTCCAAGGGTCCATGCTATACGTTTCAGGATGACGTCCACTGTCAACTGTGTCGATCGATTGCGTGATTAAACTGCACTCCAAGGGAGGCAATATTGAAGGAGGAAAGCTGCAAGGACCTACAGATTTCAGTGTACACCCCTAATCTTTCTTCCATCTGTACCAGTCTAACCCTGGGCATTTCACTGGAGCAATTCTTCATGATTTAAATATAGATCTGAGGCAAAGGCAACAAAGAACAATCTAGTTAATCAGGCACTTCAGTAGACGCCCGAGATTGCTATTTTATGTCTCCTGCACAGAGTGCAAGGTAGCGTGGGAGGGGTCCTCAATCAAAAGCAGGAAGATGCTGAATGCCAACTGTGTGTGTGCCTGGAATAAGCTCCACGAAATTAAGAGAACAAAGCCAGGAGAGAGTTAATAGCTCCAGAACAGTCATACGTTGTAAAACAGGAGCTGAAAAGGTCTGACGTGTTTCAATAAGGAAAACAAGTGAGGCCACCAGGAGCAGGATTGTTGGGGAAAAAATGAAAGAGTTGTCCGACTTGAAAACTGAAGTGAAAAGCTTGAATTATGCCTTATCATAAAGCCAAAAAAATTGGTCTTTCTTCATTAAAAAAATATGGGGTGGCTGAGGACTGAATAGAACAGTCCTTGAACCTCTCAAGAAATCACAAGTCTAAAAGTTAATGGTTTTGTCCTTTCTTAACCAGTATTCCACGCTGGACCTCCTTCAGGGCTTTATCCAACTGATCCCCTACAACACTACAGTTTATTCTAAGCCAGTTTTCAATGCACATCCATAGCATGGGCTCCTCGTCAGACAACGCTATGAGCTACGTACACTGACCTTTGGATACTGTTTGACTGGGATGAGGACTCTTTCCTTCAGTTTGACGTTCTTGTGCGAGAACAGGTCCAGATAAGCGTCTTCGTCTTCTTTCTTCGGTTCGCCTTTCTGAATCCTTTCAATTTCTGAAAGCAGGGAAAAATAACGATGACCGTTAAAAAACGATGACAAAGACTTAGGAAGTTCCAGCAAACTTTCTACAACCGATACAGCAAAGATCCAGAAGCTCCTATGATGCTAAGCTTTTTTCCATGCTGATGCGACGCTCCACAGTTCCAAGCTTGTGCTTCAGCTGAGCTTTCAAGCTTCCTTCTATGAGACACTATGAAACATTTTTCAGGCATAGATGATATTGCAACAAAACTGTAGAACTAGAGCAGACTAACCGGGGCACACTACATGCCTGCATGAACTGTCAACAGTAGCTATAAGTCACTTCACTGGATAGCAAATGCCAACCTTAACTGCATCTGGCGTTGAGCTCAAACAACTCAGGCAACCATACATCATACTGAGGAAGGAGGATGGCAGCAGGGGAACAAAGGGGAATTTCGTCTTCAAGATTAATTCAAAGGGCTGTATGCAATGAAGGACTAAGACCAAGTCACCTTCCCTCTTCTGTAGGACACTATTCAATATCTTTATATCTAAGGCGTATGAACAGACTGTGCACTCCACCACTTAATATGTTGCATTGATCTCTAAACAAAACACAATCAAGAGTTGGGTTGATACAATTAGGAGTTACACTACGCAAAATTAACAGAATGTCTCTTTTTTGGACAACGCAAATCCAGTTTAAATGTGACGTCCGTAGCTTCTGATTTGGTTTGAGGAATGATGAACTTTGCCTGCATTCCAATGCAGAGTCCAGGAGTTATAGACCTGGATTAAAATTTAATTTTGGCAACAAATGCTTTGTTTATAACAAGGATGTATGGACTCTTTTACACTTATAAATCTAGTTGATTTAGAGCAAGCTAGAGCATTGTCACTGCAGAATCTTCCCCTTTCAAAACCAGCTCAAGTGAAATAGGAGAGTCTCCCCTTTAATACATTTACAGCGATATAAACATCTCACACCAAAGAAAATGTGAAAACCTTTCAAACACACTGCGGGAATTTGCAATGTTGCTGCATTAGAATCTCTTATCACAGATTTTCAGGTTTAATTGGAAGCACAAGACTCCTGTTGAAGCACCTTTAAATAGCACCCATCAAAAATGCTTGATGCATTTTGCAAACATTTTAGTTAAACAGCATCCAGCTCTGCAACAGCCGCCAGACACACGATACTGGAAGGCACACAGGTCTGTGCTCACAGGCCCCGGACAACACAAAACCTTTCATTAGGCTCGGTCACAACCGCAAGCCGGCAATCCAATTAATAACACGAGCTTCTAGAATTTGCCACCAATACCGTTTTACTGCTCACTTTACAGTAATACAGTACCAGAGCTGCCCACCCATCAGCGGCAAGCATTCCAAGCAAACAGCTGTCGTCATGAATATCAACAAATTCCACATACTTTGCCCATCCGGTCCTGCACACCGCTGTTCGTCACAGCCGCTGACCGAACTTTCCCACATCGCAAAAGGACCAAAGCTCCTGCTAGAGTCAGAGGTACTGCAAAGGCTGAACTAGCACCTCTTTGTCCGGTAAACCGAAGGCTTTCTACAGTACGATCCACCGCCCTGCCAGATCCAAGGCCATTTTCATTACTGAATGAATATCAATAGGTAGAAATCAACCGCCAGCCTAATCTGAATGTTATCCCACTGGAGGCAACATCACATACACAAATCCCACAGTGCAGCTGTGCATCTCAGTCTACGACTAATTAGCTTCCTTCATTGTAAAAAAGCCTCAACCAGCACCTGAGCTCAGTAAGAAAACAGGAACGCTACAAGGGACACACCACCAGCCCCTCCAGGAACAAGTCACCATGCTCTTCAATCCTCACAGACCTCAGGAAGTGCACTCCTGCCGGCTCTGAGCATCCCTCTAGCTTCTCCAGGGCCGGGAGAGAAGAGATCAGCCGTCACCACTCAGAACCCTCAACCCCAAGTCTGGAGCAGCTGTTGACTGAAGGTGACCCAGAAAAAACACCAGCACCTCAAGAAATGAAGCTGGGAGGGTGACAGACGTGCCTCCCCAACCCCCTCGCTCTTACAAGACACCTTCTCTCAGATGAGTGCGGGAGTCAGGAGGGCAGTCTGCCATATTGCAGCCGGCAGGAAGAGATGGCTGCAGGTCTCCTATGGGGAACTGGTCGAGACCGACAGGGGCAGGAGACTCAGAAAGATAGGCAGGCAGGCTCTGGGTTCTGTTCCCCATCAGCAAGACCTTACAGAGCCGTGCAGCCAGCTGGCGTGAAGAAACACGCAGCCTCTTCTTACGCCTTTTCGGATGCTATAATTAAAAATCCAGATCTCCGGAGAGAACCACTGCAGACAGTAAACCAGAAGCTGCAGGTCACACGTCCCCGCCTTTAATAGAGGAACGCTAGAAGTGTCTACATTCAGAAATACGTTCATGCCAATTAGAAGAAATGCCATGAAAATATACCGCAGGTTTCTCTCCATGAACAGCTGGCTAAAAAAAACAGGTGTAATGCAATGTTCTGGAGTGATTATTTCCAGACAGCGGAGGCAGAAGCCAAGCTAGATGCAAGACTATGTCAGCCGCGGCATCGCCAACAGAACAAGACTGAAACGTTTAAGCCATCGTGCCGCTGGTCCAATTAACACGCCGATGCAACCAGACATTTCAATAATCTTATTTCAAGCCACCAGCAGTGGCGGACGAAGTGAGAATTGAAAGGGGGGTGTAAAAATTTCACAGTGCTCAACACAAACCAGCAACTGCAGGAGCTCACAGGCAAGCACGGGGAAACGGAGCATTTACAACCACTTGTGACACTTTTATTGCAGAAACTATGTTCGTCTTAATATGAAACAGGCACACCGTTTAAAAAGCTGGAAAACATTCAAGTTTCCACTGCCAAAGAACCAGAAAATAGTATTCCACGTCTTCAGACCCTGAAAGTTGTTTCTTTTTTTTAAAAAAAAAGAGCAAAAAAACGTGGATGGGCATTTGAGGAGAGGCTCAATGCTGGTTTCAAGGAGCGGGCAAGCGGGCGTGAGAGACCCCCCCAACTCGCTTAACATCTCCCGTCTGGCGATGGACTGGGCTATTCCCAACAAGAGCAACGTCTGATCGCGTCCTGTTCCAAAATACAATTTTGCCACGTTAACGGTTTTCCTCCACCCCCACCCCAGCTTGGAGCGAAAAAAAAAACTCTTTCAGTCTTTTTCAACCCTCTGGACTGTCACCCCCCCACCCTGAAGACATCCATGCCCACCGGGGGTCTCGCCATCCACTTAAAAAAAAAACTAACAGAGGACTTGACGGTGGCGGGGATCAAAATATAACAGCGGGCAAGCGAATAGCCCCGAGCTGAGATGTTGGCAGAAGACTAACCTCGAAACGTGCCAAGGAATGAAGTTTCCCCTGCAGAGAGCCTCGCACCCCGACAGAGGGACCTGAAAAGAGCTTTTTTTTTTTTTGGAAGCACCGCGTTATCTAAAGCGCCTCTTCCTCCGAGAGACTGACTGTGTGGTTTCTCCCCACCGAGGCCAAGTGAGGCTCGGTCGTTTTAAAGTCATTTATTTGAAACACTGAGGGTGCTGCGGTTACACACACACACAAACAAATATCCAGAAATAAGGCATCGGGGAACCATCTTCCCCGTTAGGAAAGATGCAACCTGGAATTAGGCTGTAAAAGAACATATCGTTGGACCCTAAATCCCGAGGCTGATAACATTTCTTTCTGAAGTTTCCAAACGTGTCATGAGAAATATTTACAGTGCGAGGTTTAATGTCTCGGCACGGGGTTGATAAATTCCTTAAAACCCGTCGACCAAAAAAAAAAAAGCATTTGAGGTAAACCCAGAGCCCAGCGACTGAAATGCGCCGGTTCCGTACATGCAAAACACGCTCAATCGTGTAAACGGCACGACAGCTAAAGCTTGATTTCATCTCTCCACAAAGGGAACAATTAACGCTTCTGCAATCAAGGCGGTCCGGCAATGGAAAAATCTGTTTTTCCCCATTCTGTAACTTTTTCTTTTTAAAGAAAGGGGAGCTTCGCCATTTATCAATTCGCTCATCATATGCAGATCGTGCTTAAAGCTGCGCTACAGTTTAAAAACCTACGTCCCGATTTGCAGCTCAACTCATAAAAAAAAAACCC